TAAGTGTTCAAGATTCTACTCGATATAGAAGCACCCGAATAGTATTTCAATAGTTTAATTTATGTATTTATAGATAAATCAATTGATTTTTATATAAGGCTCTTATTTATTAAATTATCTTAATATTCACTTATCACAATTGCATCATACACATATGTCTTTACTCTTTTAATACGTCAATTGTTCAGCCAGTTTAATTTATATTTTTGATGATAATTACATTTTTATCTTTTTGGTGCTCAACGTAGTAACAAAGAGAGTTCGTATTTTTTGTTCTTTTTAGAAAAAAACATTCTATATCGTCAGAATTCATTATGTTGTTTATTTTTTCTTCATTTACTGTAATTCCGCTGTATACTTAACATAATGACTCAAATAATTATAAAGAAATAATGCGCATGTCAATAATTCGAAAATTGCTTTTAAATATTGCGAAATATACAAAATAAAACATGACAAACTCATGTCAATAGGTTGGGCACCAATTAAAAGGAGTTGGTACCGATGATAAAGACCTACTACTTAGGGAGTATGACAGGGATACATATCCCTTTTTTTTAAATATACTCCGAACACAACATTTCGTATAAGATGTTGACGAGGGAATTCTAGTGAACGAAGAGATTCAACATCAGATATGCTGGCGATACAGTGGTATTTGCCGATAGCATGGAAACACTTAATATTTAATATTTAGCTATTAGTAAACAACCAACAAATTAAAAAAGTAGAGAAATATGGTACCAATGTCAATCAATATATGGATGGAAACATGATGACAAGCAAATAGTTAGAAATACAGTTACCTTTATTATTCACTCGCGTTAACCTTTTATATTTCTCTTAAACATTTTAACGTTTGGCAATAATTTCCTAAGTTAGCTGTAGCTTCCTCCGTGGGTAAGTGTACGTTGTTGCCCTGGAAACCATCATGGTCTTCTAACTTTAATGTCACAAATTGGTCGCATTGCTTGTGTAATGATCTTTCTCAAGTTAACACGCTCCTTTTGATACTTGATGCACCGTACTGATGATCACCAAATAGTCAGGATGTAAATATGTAATTATGGGTTGCCTTTCATCGCATATTATCTTATTATATACTTTTATTTATTTTTTCCAATTTAGAAAGTAAAATATACAATTGACACCATAATGTAGCTGCCATTTATCCTTAGCCTTGTCATCGTCAGCCTTGTCGATAAAGATATAGCTTTTGCTTATCCATAAATTTGAGTACCTGACATTGACCTAGACCGAAACCGAAAATTCGTTATAACAAATTTAAGTATCTGCCAACAAAAGCGACAGCTCACTAGCGTGTAATTGACATGTGCTTAAGAGAAGCAACAGAAGCATTTGAGGTAAAAATTACGATGGGAACTATTGTAAATTAACTAATAATAATTATTTAATGGTCAAAATCATAAAACGTGGTACCTATTTTAGATGTATCCTATTGTGGTTACCATTGACCACAATATAAATTTACTAATACTAAAATGTTTTATAATAGGATATACAATATTTGTCGTTATGTATAAAATGAACTATAAATTGTCATCAAGTCATTGGATTTTCATTAAAACTTGTAATTGTTTTGAAAATATAGTACTGATTGTATGTTATTTGCAATAACCTTGAATCTAACAGTGTACTTTAATAATTAATACGAACACGTAAGGAAATATTGATAGAAAAACTGATAAATAGGTGCTCTTTTTATTATGGAATGTGAAGAATTTTAGGTTTTACATTTTTAATAATTCACTAGAAAAACATCAAATAATAAAATATATAGCTATTTATATTGTTTGTCTTATTCGTCTCAGCATCCAAGTAATAATAAAAGAAAAGTTTAAAGCTAACAAGTTTATTGTAGGGACTTTCACTTGCAACAGGTTGTAGCCGACTGATCTGAGCCTGACGTGATGTAAAAGCACAAAAGTAGAAAAGATTTTTCGTTATCGTGTGAAGCCGTAAAAATTCTCAGATTGTTTTCGGTAAGAAGTAGGTGGGGTATATTTTATTATAAGCAAAATATTCTGATTAGTCCAATATATAAGCAGAGGTCTGGCTGATTAAATAACGAGGGGACTACGCGCACAGAAGGCGTCCTAGAGTTCATAAGAAACGGCCGCCTAGAGGCATTCCAGTGCTCAAACATCCACTGTACTCGCCTAATTTAGCACTCTGTGACTTTTCCTGTTTTCGCAGACCAAGTCTGCCTTAAAAGGTATGCTGATTTCATTAAGTCCTCGTAGACACACCTGTCTCAGGACTAGCAACTTCACGTGGAGTCATATGTCGCCATATTACCAAATCTACTGGTAACTTTAACATCATAATAACTCATCAATTAGCCCATATTTGTCCACTGCTGAACGTAGTCCTCCCGTAAAATTTTCCACTTATTTCTGTCTTGAGCTTCTTGCATCCAGTTTGTGGTGATGCGCTTGATATCATCCGTCCATCTAGTCGGTGGTCGTTCTCTGCTACGATATGCATCTTGCTTTGGTCGCCATTCCAGAATCTTTCTTGATCCATCTGCCATCGTTAATCTGGCAAACATGTCCGGCCCAAGCCTATTTAGCCTTGCTGTTTTTTCAACTGCATCTGTGACTCCTGTTCTGTCTTCTTATTTCTAGGTTTGGTACTTTATCTCTGATGGTAATACCTAATATTGATCTTTCCATAGCTCGTTGTGTAACTCTTATTTTATCTATTGTTCTTTTTGGCAGTCAGTGTTTCTGCACCATATGTAAGAACCGGTAAAACGCACTGGTTAAAAACCTTTCTTTTTAAACAAACTGGGATACTAGACTTAAAAATATTATTCAATCTATCATTCACTTTATTCACTTTAAAATTCAAAATAATAAAGTACAAAAAGTGTCAACACCGCAACTGTCAAATAAGTGTTACCAATTTATGCCAAAATGTCACCTTTGTTCGATTACAGTTACAGTGTGTTCCGAACAAATGTTCTTCATAAAAACGCTTTATAATGCATTTATACAAATTAAATGAGGCATATTATTGTGTATTTGTTTAAGTTAACATTAATAGAAATCTTTATATATTATTTCTACAGCGTAATATAATAAAATATGTCGTAGTGACTATAATGCCAGTGTACTCGGCAAAGTGATTCTAAAAAAGAACACACCTACCGCCTAAATATTTCGTGTTGGTATCATGTGATGTCACGAACTATGACGCCGATGACGTAGCATCGTACAGTAAATTAGATGAAGTATATGTATTATTAACAAGTAGAGTATCTTCGTTGATTAATTACTAATAAGTATTTCAATTAAATCTTTCTAATCAGTCAACTGATTTTTCGTAATTAATATAGCACAAAAGTGTACATTTTTATTGGTTAGGACATCTTTAAAAGCAGGACTTTAATACATAATTCTGCCTTTTAGAGCCCCGAGTTTCATTCCAACAAAACTTATGCTTTATACATATAATACAAGGGTAATTCGTAGAAAAAGTTTCCCTATGCCGCTGAGAAAGAATGCGATGTACTGGGAGAAATCTGGCAACACTGGCTTTAACATCAAATCTCCCTATCTCCCATATTACCACTAATGCTTCGCTGCATAGCTCAATGCTAGTCTAGTGGTCTTCGAAGATGGCGATTTCGATCGCTGTTACCGTCAGATGCGAAATTCGTGCTGTGACGGGTTTTTAAATGCAAAACAAATTTCACCTATTGATAATAATCGTCAGTTAACAGACGTTTATGTGGAAAAGTGCATACCTGTTTAACATGGTGATGGTTGCCAGATGGTGTAGGGAATTCAGTGAAGCCAAAACGTAAATTTACGATAAAGATCGAACTAGAAGACTTTTAAAGGTAAACAAATATTGCTTGAAGATCAAAGGTTTATTATTAATGACCTTGCGTTGAGTATTACTGAGACTTTCCACACCACAATTTCTGTGAAGTTATGTAGAGGCTTCTACATGACAATGCTTAACTTCATGTCTCACATCAAACTGAACAATTGCTAAGAGATTTTGGCTGTACTAGTGTGCCCCACCCATACTACAGTTCGGACCTAGCATCAAGTGATTGTTATTTATTCCCAAAATTAAAGGAACATTTGGGTGCTTTTATGCTTCAGTACCGATAATGAAGTCAAGAAAGAGGTTACTCTATTACTTAATGGATTGCCGGAGAATTCTATATGATAGGGATAGAAAAGGTGGGAGGATTGTCTGCAAAATTTTTTGGATAAAAACGGCGATTATGTAGAATAATAGCGTGAGTTTTCAGTTTTAAAATTATGTATAATACTAAGAACAGAAATATTATCTATTTTTAAAATTCATAGGAACCTTATTTTACGAACGGCCCTCGTATATCATCACATCGGTCTAAATAATTGTCAGATGGAAAATGATATGATAAGAAAAGTTAAATTGTATTAATTCATAAATCAGATTGGAATACAACTTTTTGTAAACAACTTTTACTAATGACTAGATTGTTGTTTGGTAAAACGTCAATGTATATATTTAATTTTTGTTTCAATGACTTTGTTGTAACTTGTAGCAAATAAAATTCATAAATTTAACCCCCTCTGTGGCTCAGTGGTAAGAGCGCCTACCTTTAAACCTAAAGGTCGTGAGTTCGAATCCCATCTGGGTAGAGAAATTTTCGTTTATTAAAAATTAATGAATGAAAATAATTTCTATCCATGTGCGATCGGTACTCACCGGAGGGACCGCAGACGTTCGGATACAATTAGCGTCTCTTAGCAAAGACAATGACGTCGACTTTGCTAAGTATCAAGACAATTACTCTACACATACACACACACTACACTAGGTACCTGACTGTACCATGCCAATGATCATAGTTGTCGAGGCATTAACTCAATAAAAAAAAATTCATAAAACTCTTACTATCATACATAAAAAGCTAAATACATATAGAGTAAATATAAATATACTATCATATAGCCTTTAATTGGTTCACTTACCATAATTGTAATAGCCTGTCGGTTTTTCACCCTCAGCCCTTATTTCTGGACATTTCTCCCCTGCCATTATAAGGCAATCAGTATCTGAAATTAAAAATAATACAACATTACAAAAGTATGTTGAAGCAGTACAAACAATAGTTTGTAGATTCAATAATGCTATTTTGGGGTAAATCACAAACAGTAAATCCGTTTTGGTGTTTTTATATTATTTACTTTTGAAATCAGTCCCACTTATGGACCTTATGGAAAGTAATTTTTTATGGGAAGGCAATGTTAACCTTATTTGATTGTTGTTAAGTAAAAATATGTCTAATTTGCGTATTTGATTCTTTTTAAATCAATATTGATCCTAAAATATTTTATGCTTCCAAAACTTCTAAAAATTGGAACGAGCCTTGAAAGAAGTCAATAATCAGTAATGTGAACAACTGGAGAATATTGATTTGTGTGTTCTGTAACCAAATTTGGATGAATTGACATATACCGAAGAACTTAATGATGATATTCTAGAAGATCCAAATATTTGCATGCCAAACAAAATTTCTGGAACTATGGAAACTTCTCTTGTGATGAACCCGACGATGTAAGAACTTCTGTGGGTAAAAACCGATTTTAAATCTACTGCCATACCAGTAAATGTATCATTTGAATAGAAGAAAAACGTTAAAAAAGCTCTAAGGAATTTATTACCGATTAAAATTTAAAAAAATGATTTACTGTAGAAATTATACTTTCTTCTTCTTCTTTGGGTGCCGTGTCCGTATTCAGACGTTGGCCGTCATCATGTTTACAATTTCCTGAAACCTTTCTCTGTCGGCTGCTGCGCGAAATAATTCTTCTACTGTGAAACCACACCATTGTCTAATATTACGCAGCCATGAAAGTTTCTTTCGACCAATCCATCTCTTTCCTTCCACTTTTCCTTGTATTATAAGGCGAAGTAAATGGTATTTGGGTCCTCTAATTATATGGCCGAAGTATTCTGTTTTTCTCCTCTTTATGATGTTTATGAGCAGACGTTCTGAGTTGATCATTTGAAGAACATCTTCATTGGAAGTGTGCGAAACCCACGATATCTTTAGGATTCGTCTATAGCACCACATTTCGAATGCTTCTAAGTTGTTTAGCATTGTGATTTTTAACGTCCATGTCTCACAACCATACAATAGGATCGACCACACATAACATTTCAGGACCTTTTTACGAATGTTCATTGACAGGTTTCTGTTGCATAAAACTGGTTTCCACGTCATAAAAGCCTTCGTGATATTTCGATCCTGGATATTATCTCTTTATCAGAGTCACAATTTACATTTAACCAGCTGCCAAGGTATTTGAAATGATTTACCCTTTCTATCTCTTCTCCATTAAGAGAAAGCAGACCTTGATCTATATGGATCTTTCCAACTGCCATCCACTTTGTCTTTGAAATGTTGATTTTTAGGCCTCTGCGATAACTTGCTTCACTGACCTAACTAAACATAATAGATTACCACGAGAAAGGTTATACTGGCCATTAGATGAGGCCCTAGGACTTTTCTGTGTTTATAATGATATAAGCAGAGACAGGTTTGAAGTAGAGCAGAACCCAGCAAAATAATTTATTAGAGGAAAGGCAGTCAGATCTGGATTTAAGAATTAGATGATAACTGGTTCCACTGGATATTGTTATGGTTCTGACGTTTATTGTAGAAAAAAACCAAATGATACTGAAAATATTAAAGAAATACCACTTTGAGCTAAAGTAGTAATTGAAATTTTAAAATACCTGCTCAAACGATCTGGAATTTTTTTTCTATAATTATTTCACGACATATCAACTAATGATATATCTAAAACAAAAAAACATAAAGGTGTCAGAAACTGTAACATAAACTACTGTAAGAAATGTCAAGTAATGGAGTCTCAGCTAATAATGAAAATGGCAAGAGGTTTTATATTTATAGATTCGACAAAACTAATGAAATTTTGTGTGTGAAATGGTATGGCAATAGTGTTTGTTCTGTTATATTCAATTATAATACCATTGAACAACTAGGTCACGTAAAAGGGTGGTCAGAGCATCAAAATCATCAAAAAAAGAAAATGTAATACAACCAAAATTGTTTGCTTCCTACAATTCTGGAATGAGTTAAGGAGATGCACATGATCAGTGCATATCATTATATCGAATAACTATAAAAGTTAAAAAGTGGTGGGGGTCATAACTAATGCCTTGAAACTACATCAAATTTCTGTTAAAAATGTGATGGATCGGTTAGAATTCCGTCGTCATATAGTTAGTTATCGGTCGTCATAGTTATTTGAATGATGGTCTCACTTCAAGAATACAAAGAAAAAAAAGCTGGTTTCAGCATTAAACTCATCAAGGGCTTTCATTTTCCTGAAAATTGGAAAAACAATAATTAAAGTGTTTTGATGTCATATGAAGGTAAGGTAGACATGCAAAAAGTGTGAAAAAATAATGTGTATTGAAAAATAGTATTTTAAAAAATACTATACAAATACCTAGCGTCCCTTGTATTTCAAAATATTTTTGAAAAAAAATTGTTTTCTTAATATATGTAATAAATGTTACCCAAACATCACAATTGTGTATCGTTTATCATTTTTTCCAACAAGTTTCTTTTTAGGCGTTAATAGGTCACTATTTTTTATACTGTTTATACCTTTGAGCACCTTAACAAAATAGTTTCTAATAGTATGTAGTTTCAGTTCTGTATCTGATTCATTAAGAAAACTTAGAAATATTTAATAATATATTACATTTAAATAGTTTGTTTACCAAACGTGTTGGAAAATAAAACAATAAAAAGGAATTTACTAGAAAATACCTCCATAAAAACTAATAGTTCCAACAATCATATAAATAATTAATTTTGTTTCCCAGCAATAATATTCATATTTATAAAAAAATATTAAGGAAATCACTTGTTAAAGTCAACGATTGTCTAATATTGGTCGCCAATCTAGAATATATTTTGTCGATTTATTGCTCGATTGTCTTGCAACTTGTCCTGCTCATTTTTACGTCCACTTTCAATATACGCTCTTCAGTGTCTTCTGCCCCAGTTATTCACAGTGTTCCATGTTTTTACATTGTCTCTCGCATTGTCTCAACTGATATTGAGACAATGCGGGAGACAATGTCAACTCAACGTCAATAAGGGTTCCACGCGCGACAGGTTCTGATCCCGTTCTGCGTTCAGCGATTTCCCATATGTCCCGGCCCGCAGCTATTTTCGCTGACCAGTCCCACGTCCCGTCCACGTATACACACATCAAAATAATCCAGGGGACACCTATATCAATAGCTTTAAATCAATGTTTGCTGCAAATACAGAAATAAACTAATGTTTTTAATCTTTTTATTTGTTATTTTGTTGATTATTCTACCAACTTAGACGGTAAGGCTGACAAGAATGGCTATAAAAAATTTAACAAAACTTTAATATGCGTTTTTTGTCTATAAGATTTTTATTTAATTTTGCAATTGCCAATAATGGAGAGACTAATCAGAATAAAGACCATCCTAGTAGGTTGTATGCTTTGTGAGATCGCACTGTAACTGTACCACAATAAAAAATGGGTCTTCAAGAGACCCATCAGATGTTTGTAAGTAGCCAAACGATTAGAAATGGACTGAATGAAGAGTAGGATTAAATGCTCAAAGACTTGTGAGAGTGTCTGTGTTCTGTGTTATTCAGAGACAATCGACTACAGTGGGCACAAATCACGCAAATTGGGTTAGATCTGAGTTGGTCTCTGAGTTAGATGATTCCCGGTTTGAATTTCCACCAGATGCAAGATGGATAAGAATTTGGAGATGATCTAGCAATGCAGAACCATTGGTCACTGTGCAAGAGGTTCATAGACAGGCAGGCAGCACTATAATGGTATGGAGTGGTATCACTATTGGTATAAAAACTAGTCTCGTTTGTCTGGAACGCTTTCTAAACGCAACAAACTACCGCGATAATATTATCGAACCTATTCTTGTACCTCTTGCACAACAAGTTGGTTTGCAATTTAAATTAATGCACGACAATTAGCGTTCGCATACTGCCAGGGTCATGTAAAAATTCGTGAGAAGGTAATGAAATTGAGGTTTTACCATGTCCTGCACAATTGCCAGATTTAAACCCAATCAAGCATGTAGAGGACATATTGGGCAGACCCATTTTACAACAAACTATTGCGTTCAATACAAGACAGCAACTGTTTGAGGACCTCTCTATGCAGTGAAACAGAATGCCGCAGTAAGACATTGACCATCTGATTATAAGTTTTCCTTACAGATGTAGGACAGTAATTAACAACTATCGAGGTCTTATATTATACTAACACATAATAATAAGCCACAGAATAAACCACAAGTTAAGTTTACAATAAGTTTATTTTTGACGATTCGATTTGTACGTCTGTAAAAAAATTCAGGCTTTTCAAATATACAAAAATAATATTCCTACAGTCAATTGTTAGAAAGGTATTCTAATTGTTTATAAGCAAAAAATCGACATGTTTTTGCTAAATTATTTTGCAATATTTAAAATTAGTTTTCTTAATTTTTTTTTAATGTAAATAATAAAACAAATCTTCTTCTTTCAGAAAATATCTTTACAATTACTAAAACTATAATATATAATTTTCTGATATTCTGACTTATCTTGTTGCAAACAAATTAATTTACGATAAACAAAAATTAAATTTTACTTTTTTAAACTTTTAAACTATTTTACCGATCACTTTGAAATTATGACCATATTCTAAGCACTATAAGAGACAGCATTCCATGAAATATAAATGATATAAGTTTATTTTCAAAAAAGTTATTACCATTTATAAAAAACCGAAATTTTTGACTTATTCTGCAACTTCCTAGGCAACAAATAAGGATAGAAACATTTAGAGAACGCCATTTTGAAGGTTGTTATATGACTTATAAGTATCTTCTATTCTAAAATTTGTATAAATTGCTTCACTTTTTGCTGATAGACGAAAAAAGCAATAATTTTCCGTTTTTTGATCTTAATTTGTTAATAACTAATTAATTCCAAAAAATCG